TATATATATAATTCTGTAGAAGAAAGTACTTCTAAAACAGGCTTCCTTCTATACATCTTATGAGAAGATCCTGACGACTGATTTTTTTTTTTTAATTTGTTGAAATACAGTTGATTTTAGCTTCCCTGGTGGCTCAGATGGTAAAGAGTCCACCTGTCAGTGCCGGAGACTCAGGCGGCATGGGCTTGATCCCTGGGGAAGGGGATGGCAGCCCACTCCAGTGTTCTTGCCTGGGAAATCCCGTGGACAGAGGAGCCTGGTGGGCTGCAGCCAGTGGGGTCACAGGTGGTCCAACTGAGCGACTGAGCAACAACAGTTGGTTTGCAATGTTATATTAATTTCTGCTCTACAGTAGTGACTCAGTTATACATACATATTCTTCTCGATTATGGTTTATCACACAGTGTTGAGTATAGTTCTCTGTGCTATAAATACAGTGAGGCCTTGTTGTCTATCCATCTTGTATACAGTAGTTTGCATCTGCTAATCCCAGACTCCCAGCCCACACTCCCACCGTGGCAACCGCAACGCTGCTCTTCATGTCTGTTGACTGGTTTCTTTTTTATTTTATTTGTACTGCTGCTGCTGCTGCTTCTGCTGTGTTTTGGGGGGCACTTACTGTGTGCCGAGCATTGTCCTAGGTCTTTAGATACATTAGCACACTCATTTCTCATAACAGCCCACTGAGTATGTACTATTACCACCCCAGACAACAGAGGTGGAAGCATGCATGGAGAGTTTGAGTAACCCTGCTAGGGATGGAGAACCTTTGTGCTTGGGACCCAGATCCTGTGCCTCTTCCCATCTACAGCAGTGCCACCACCCCTGCCCCACGCTGGCCCTGCTGTGATTGCCCTCTGGGTAGTGTTTTTTCCCTCGTTAGGAAAACAGAGAGCTGGTACACTCAGAGAGGACAGAGAATTATTTAAAACATACTATCATGATTATAATGTGAATTTCAGTGAACTTTTCTTGACATGAAATTGGACATCAGGAATTGATTTCGTGTGTGAAATGTCTATTGAATCTCTATTGAATCACCTTTTTATGAACACGTCAGAGAAAGGCAGTGGTTAACTCCTACATTCAGCTCCGATGCTGATATATGCTTACACACTCAGTATGTGTGTAAGCCACCAAGTGACCTGGTGAAGAAGTGGGTGCAGGACACAGCAGAGCTGCTGGCAAATCTGATCTTCAGCTCTGATTTTTCAGAGAACTAGAGCTAGTTCATGAATGTTAACTCACTTAGCTTGATAATGACCATGTTCAATGTGGGGGGTATGATATGTTTAGAAAACTGTTTTGGACAGAAAGTAGACATTAGCAACTGTAATATCTAGAGAGTTTGAATTGTTTATATCGACAAAACGGTTTTCATGACCCAGCTCCACATCAGTGTTAGAGACTGTATAAACTGTATATTTCTCTTAGTGTTTTAATAGAAAAGAGCCTGAAAGTACAAGAGCCTGAAAGTACAAGACCCTGGTGACTTCAGTACAGGTGAACAAATTGAGATTGCATGAAAAACATACTCGGTGTAATTAAGTGGATTCATTTAATATATCACAAAGCCTTAACATATTGAATTTTAAGACAATACCTGTTAGAGCAATAGTAATAACAACCACAACAACCACACAAATACACTTACTGTAAATCAGGAGAGTACTTTATGTGCGTTATCTTAGTTAACCCTCAACTACCTTCTGAGGTAGTCACTGTGTTACTTCCATCTCACAGACGAGGAAACAGAGAAAAAGAGAGCATTAGTTACATGCCCGAGGTTATGCAACTTGCAAGCATTGTTTGTTCATTCACTGTTTGTTGAGTGTTAACTACCACAGCCTGGCATTGTTCTAGGTAATGGAGAATTAGCAATGAGTATAAAAGAACCTCTGCCTTCATAGCAGGATCTTACCTTCAGTGAGGGAGCTAGACAAAAAAGAGAAACATGGAAACCTAGAATGAGTCAATGGTAATATGGATTATGCAGGCGAATAAAACCCCATAAGCTGGAAGGGAGTGCAGAGCATAGGTGCTGTGATAGGCTCTCATCACTCTTTTATGCTAGTGGTAAGGAGGGACTTCTCTGAAAGGGTGACATCTCAGCTGACACTTGAAGAGAGAGCGATGTTTGTAAAAAGAAAATTCCCGGCAAAGGAGTGAAAGAGGTCCCTGTGCTTGGAGTGCCTGGGGAGACTCACAGACGCCATGTGATTGCTGTGGGTGACGGGAGGATGGTTGGGGTTGGAACCCAGACTTATCTGACCCCAGAACTCAGATTTTAACCATTACGGTAGTCTGATGGGGCAGCCACAGCATTGCCCAACCTGTTGTGATCTTGGAGACACTGTATTATTCTCATGGAAAAGAAAGTGAGAGCATTAGTTGCTTAATCCTGTCTTTGCAACCCCATGAATTCTTTGCAACCCCATAAACTGTAGCCCGCCAGGCTGCCTTGTCCCTGGGATTTCCCAGGCAAGAAATACTGGAGTTGGTTGCCATTTCTTTCTCCAGGGGATCTTCCTGACCCAGGGGTTGAACCCATGTCTCCCACATCTCCTGCTTTGCAAGCAAATTCTTTACTGCTGAGCCGCCAGGGGAGCCCCATGGAGAAGAGGAGGCCAGTCAGTTTCTACTGCAGAGGTTCTGTGTGTAGAATTGAGAGTATAGGAGGTTTATCTGTGGTTTAGGAGCTTTGGAGAATAAAAGTAGGAAGTGATTGATTATAGACCATAAATTTGGGAAACTGGGAGGTGTGTATCTTCCTTCCTCAAAATTCCTCAGTGGTTCTCCATTGCCTTCAGAGCTTTAAAGAAATTAAGTAACTCTCCCAAAGCCCCATAGCAAATAGATCTAGTTAAAACTCTTTTTTTTTAAATTGTAGTGTAGTTGATTTACAATATTGCATTAGTTTCAAGTGTGAAACAAAGTAATTCAATTATATATTCAGATTATTTTCCATTATAGGTTATTAGAAGGTATTGAATATTGTTTCCTGTGCTATCCAGTAAATCCTTGTTGTTTACCTGTTTTATGTACAGGAGTGTGTATCTGTTAATCCCATTCTCCTGATTTATCCTTCCCCCTCTTCCCTTTGCCCTTTGGTGACCATAAATTTGTTTTCTATATCTGTCTGTTTCTGCTTTGTAAATAGGTTCACTTGCATTGTTTTTTAGATCTGGATGTAGTCCTAGTTTTGAATGATGATGAAAACTTTGTTCAAGACTGCTGAGCTGTGTTACTCTTCTCGGAAGGTGAATCAGTCACGTGCTCCTTGGCTTCTTGTCGCTTGCGACTGAAGTCAGCGAACCCCGAGAAGGGATGCAGGGCCCCCCGCCCCCCCCAGAGCAGCTCCCACCGTCTCTTTCACACTTAATCCGCTGCTCCTCCCCTTCCACCTTAGCACGGAGCAAACCAGTGCTTCCTAGAGGCAGTTAAGACCTAGACTTTGAGCGCTCGGAAATGTCCTTCCTCTTGTTTTGTGGCTAAGTTTTATATCTTTGTTGAAGATTGAGATATAATTTCCAGTTTGAGTTATAATTTCTTCTGTTGGCTGCTTTTGTATCTGGGTACTTGCTCGTCATTTCTGGTAGAGATCACCGTCTGAGTCCCTGCCCTCCCAATGAGGGTTGAGCCCCTCTGTACCAACACAGAAATCTGTGCCAGCATTGGCTCTGCCTCGTTCCATGCTTTTTTGGGGGGTTAATTTCTTTGCTCATATGTCTGCCTATTCTTCCAGACAATAAATCACTGAAAGCTTGCGCCATGGCTTTTTTTATTTTTTTGGTCTGTGTTCTAACCATGGAGAATAGGGCTTGGCACACAGTTTACCTGCTCCTTTAAACAAAATGTTAATTCTAATATTAATGATGACAGTTTTGGTCAGATCAAAACAAGTGGAATATATTGAGCAGTGATGTTAGTTCACTGAGAAAAAAATAGATGATAATAAAAGCAACTACTTTTAATGAAAGGTTATTATGTGCCAGACTCTAAACTCAGCCTGAAATACATCATTCCATTATTCCAAATCACATTCAAATATGAAAGTTATACCTTGTTAGGTATAATCTTAAAGCTAAGTTAATATCTTATTAGATATAACTTTTAAGATGAAACTTTAAAAAATGTATCAATGTTTGAACTAACTGATAGTAGGAGGTATTTCTGGGGCTTTAAGTAGAGGGAAGTGTCCTTAGGCAGGGACAGAAGTAATCTTTGTTTCTTTATACTTTTTTAAAACGTCCCTACAAATGTGTATACTTGGCTGCATGCAGAGATCTTCCGGAAAGAACACTGTACTCATTTATAATTGGAGCGTGGCGCGCTGGGAGAGACAGAGGGCTGCTGGGGAAGTGAGGCCAGATGAGCCCCACATAGCGCAGTGCCTCCTGCGCTGATCAACGGTTCATTGTAAAGGCTTCGTCAGTGCCGGCCTTGCAGCCCAAGGCCCCGAAGTGCGCTGCTTGCACGGTTTCTTAACCTAATTCCTGATTGCCATTCACGTGGAAATCTACTCATTAGGGATTCTGTTGAGTAATTTTTGTATAGGAAAAATTGAATCATTGAATCATTGCTGATTGCTTTCTGCTTCTCAGACAAGTGTATTATCTGAAATTGATATGCTTATCATAACATCAGTTTTGGACATGTATTTAATTGTGGCTTACATAACATTTATAACTTACCTAGCAGTGTTCAGGTTTACTCTGAAATACTTTTAAATGCAAATTCTCAGGATATCACACAGTTTTCTCATAGTATAGTATGACNCCCCAACTTTACTGTCTTCTTAATTTTTCAATATTTTTTGCTGCTTAGAATGGGTCACATATTCTTTATTTAATCCTAATACTTTTAAGACTTAAGAGTCCATCAGTTAGAAGGACTACATTGGTACTCAGAAAAGACGCTGAAGAAATTGTTTTGCTTGCTCCTCTTTCCATTACTTAGTAGAAATGTACTCTAAAGCTCTTTCTGTGGTTTTACTCCAGTGACCCTGCAGCCAGAGCCCTGTGGGACGCCTTACTGAACACCAGGCACAAAGAGGCGGTGATGGAAGTCCGGAGACACCTAGTGGAGGCAGCGAGCAGAGCAAACCTGCCCATCAAGATGAGCATGGGTGAGTTACCCGCTTCCCCGGCAGACCATGACCGCCTGCTCTGAGGAGGTTCCTTCTCGCCTGTTCTGATCTGTGGGCCGACCTAGTCATCATGGCATCTAGGTAAAAGTATTGAAGACATCTTTAAACTGTTGAAAGAGTAGGAAAGGAATTTGTACACATGCCCCCCCCACCCCGGGGGCTCAGCCATGAGCCCTTTCCTTAGACTCAGCTTTGGGAAGCCCAGGCAAGTCCTTGCCCACAAAGGGTCACGCTGTTAGCTATTTCATCTAATCATAGAATGATTAGAATCCGTCTGAACTCCTCCTTCGTTCTGTCCCACTCCCCCCTACTCCCCACTTGCTGTGGTTAAATGATCTTTTATTGGATTTGAATTGATGAATGAATGATGATGCTGAGAAATCAGTTGAGCAAATGGACATACTCTGTTCTGGCTCCTCACTCTTAGACTGGTCTGCTGATTGTCTGGTCACATCCCTCTTACCCTTTCTTCACCATGGTATTTTATAACTTACTCTTCTCATTTCTCTCTCTTTTTTTTTTTAAATGCAGTTTTGTCTTTAGTATTAGAAGAAGGGGCTACAGTGAAATTTAAGTTTTAAATTGCTGTTTTCTTTTGATTTAAAAAATCAGAGAGCTAATGTTTTGAGAAAAATAATCTTGGCTTTACCTTTTTTGAAATAAATACTTTTATTAATATGCTGCTGCTGCTGCTGCTAAGTCGCTTCAGTCGTGTCCGACTCTGTGTGGCCCCATAGATGGCAGCCCACCAGGCTCCCTCGTCCCTGGGGTCCTCCAGGCAGGAACACTGGAGTGGATTGCCATTTCCTTCTCCAGTGCATGAAAGTGAAAAGTGAAAGTGAAGTCGCTCAGTTGTGTCCAACTCTTCATGACCCCATGGACTGCAGCCCACCAGGCTCCTCCGTCCATGGGCTTTTCTAGGCAAGAGTACTGGAGTGGGGTGCCATTGCCTAGAAATATTTAAATATGGATATTGAATCTGGTTAATAGGTAGAATTTATTTCTGGAAACTTGCAAAGGTTTATTTCTTTATTTTAAAAATGAGGTTTCTTTTATAATCTGATCTTAAGTATCTGATAAATATTAATACAGTTTACTAGATGGGTAAATTTTTCTTATTGAGCTTTCTCGCCCAAATTCTTGATTACTGATGAGTACAAAAAAAAAAAAATCAAACTGTTAAGTTGAAATAGAAGACCAGAATTTTGGAAATAAAAGAATATGGATGAACCCAGAAGAAAAAAAAATGTAGAAGGTCATAATATGAAAGACAACTAACTCAGTGTGCTAAGTGATTACATATGAAGGTTTTAAGTAACATGAAGGATGATAAGAAAAGTGAAAGTAACTAACATTTATTGAGCACTTACAATGTACCGGGTCTTATTCTAACTCTTTACCTGTGTTATTTAAAATTCACAGTAATTCTATGAGATTGATACTGTGAGTATCACATTTTTCAGATAACCTAAAATAGAGAAAAAATATGGTACCCAGGGCCCATACATCTGATAAAGAGTAGGACTGGAATTTAAATCTAGACATTGTAATGTGAAAGAATGTGTTTTTTATTTATAAAATTATCCTATCTCCATACAACCAATGCCAGAGTCCTACATGTTATTTTGGAGTAGAAATAAAGTTGTTTCTTTGAGTCATCCTGGTGTTTGGCTATAATTCTGGTTTCTTTTTCACTCTTTCCTCCCTGCCTCCCCTCTTTCTTTCTTTCTTACTTTCTCCCTCTCTCCTTCCCTCCCTTCTTCCTTCCTTCCTTTCTTCTTCCCACAGTTAGAGGTATCCATTAATAAGGTTTGTTTACCTAGCATAGTTCTTTATCTGTGCATATGCTGAAATAAGAACTAATTCACATTGTGAATAGAGAAAAGCAGGAATGCACAGAAGGTTTGAGTGAAAAGTTAATTTATATTGTGTTTCAGTGATAAAATCTTATGATGCTATCCCAGAGCATAAATCAGCTTTTATTGCTCAATCAGTGCAGAACTCTTAAAAGTTCAAAACACTTTACATTTCTAAAGCTCTATATCTTTTAAAAATAATCAGAGCCAGAAAAAAAAAAAGCGGGTAAGCCCATAAGGAATTCAGTTTAAATATTTGAGTTTTCTGTTGACAAAAAAAAAAAGATAAGATGGTTTGATTTATTCCCAAACTCCAGACATGGGTGAGGGGCTGGGGGGAGAAGGAAAGAATCAGACAATTGTTAGCACCCTTTGTTGCAAGAAGGACCAAAAAGATTGATCCAAATCATGTTCTATCTATGTGCCAACTGGTAATTTAGGAAAAGATAACACATTACAGCTATGCACTTCTGCTTCATATCACTGGTCAGAATTTCTGGTGTGTCTCATTCCCATTTACAAACAGATACATAACCATGAACAGCAAGGGAAAAGGCTGGAATTTAAACAAAATAAAATGTTGATATTTGAAAACTGCTTATCATAAAAGAAAAAAGAAATCATGTTCTGATATCCTAGATAGCGGAAATCCTTTTTCTAGTAGCATTAAAAAATGTGAAATTCAAACTATGTGCTGTTCAACCCCTGCTGTAAATTCTACTGAAGTATACATTCTTCTGACTGTGATAGAGGCTTCTAGTATTTGGGGACATTAAACAGATATTTTAATTCTAGGTTGAAGATTTTTCTTATATTGAAATTCACAGGGAGGGATCCCATGATTGAAAGCTCAGCTCTTAAATATAAAATTTCCCAGTAAAAGGTAAGTTCATATTAAAACATCATGAGCATGAAGGGAAATAAACATCATTCTCTTAGGAGAAAAAAGCTTAATTGCTAAAAGAAAGAAAAAATTCATTTTGTCATTTCACATATAAACATATGCCTGCTTTCCAAGAGCTTGTTATTAAATTGTCAGTTAACTAAGCATATATGTTCCAGAAAAGTGATTTTTATTTTTTTTACAACATTGCAAACTGAATTGTGTTTTTCCCACTGGCCTTTCGTCATGGAAAATGTATTCTGAAAGTAAAAAACAGACTCTAAGAAACCCATTTGTTTGGACCCAGAATGTTCACTCACAGAGGAAATGAGTAGAAGATGCCCATGTTAGTGTCTCCATTTACAGAGAATCTGTTTCTCTGGATTGACACTGTGGTTGGTGCATCTTCACCGGTTTATCCCTTAGCTCTCCGCAGAGTGGCTGTGTTTAATGGCTGGTGGAAAGATCCTATTATGGCTGAAGTGAAACAGATCTCTTTATGACACTCTCCTTTGATTCCCAGCCAGATTTCTTGAAAGAGTGTCCTATGCTTGATGCCTCTGTTTCTTTATTATTTTCTTGCTTATTAGTTCAGTGTAGTCTGGCTTCTGGTACTTTTTTGCTGAGAAAGTGAAGATTATGATTATCAAGCAAACTGGAATTGGTGTGCTGCAGTTGTGTTCTGTCTATGGGGTAGATATCCAGGGGAGATCCCCTGGAGAGGGAAATAACAACCTACTCCACTGTTCTTGGCTGGGATGTCCCATGGACAGAGGAGCCTGGCAGGCTGCAGTCCTCAGGGTCGCGAAAGAGTCAGACACAACTTAACCACTAAATGACAAACAACAAAATGGGGAAATCTACGTGGGAAACCGTATTATAAAAGGGTTGTTTAATGAGAATGAACTAAAAACAGATCAAGTTCAGTGATTTTCTCCTATCTTTCTTGGAAGTGTAGCAATTTATTCTTTCCACTTAATTTGTCTTTTTTCTAGTCTTTATGCTGAGTATTTCCCTTTAGATAACACATTCTTTCTTTGAGCAGAATTCTAAATAGTTTTTCCATTTTCAGCTTAGTTATGGTTATATTCTGTTACCTCTTCCCTGATTTTGTTCACCCTCAAATCACCTTGGCTATATTTGGGATTCCCAGACCTCTGTGGTCACACTTTTACCGGAAGATCTTCTGAGCTGTGTTTCCAGATAATAATCTGATCCATTGTGTTGTGAAGCTTCATGATTACTCTGTTCATTTTGGGGCACTGGAGTGTCAGCTCCATGTAATCACCATCAGTTTCTCTTTTGCAAATTAAATGTGATGAGTTTGTCCAACCATTTGTGAAAAGACTAGCCTTTAACCACAATTTTTTCTAGTTCTGAGCCACTGACAAAGCTCTAGTTTGTTAATGTTCGGCCTAAAATGTGATGTTCAGCGCTGAATAAAGACGTCTTGTTCTTTGCCTCTTTTTGGACGCCGTACTTCTCTTAGTGAAGCCCCAAATGAAATTAGTGATTTTTGCTTTTCACCAATGACACACATACCTATCATTTCCTGCTTTCATAATTTTGCAATACTGGCTTTGAAAAACAGCAATAAATCAACACACTCTAAAATTTTATTCAATATATACTTTTTCAACGTCATTGAGAGTACTCTGATTCCTAGTATTAGTACTTGAGTTCATCCCGTTTTGTGTTTTGATCACATTTATATCTTTTGCCTTCATTATGGAGAGTTTTTTTGTTTGTTTGTTTGGGATTAAAAGGAACTTGTATGCATATACATCTGTGTGTGTGAATGTGAAATGGGTGTGCAGATTGTCCAACTTTGCCAAATGGATAGGTTAAAACCTAATAAGACCAACCTTCCACTTCACATATGGGAACTGATGAGATGAGAAAATCTGGATGTCTCATAGGCACATATACTGAGTGTTAGCTCTCACACATGCTTGTCTTCATGTTTTAGTTGTTGCCACAGTTTGGAGAATGGGGAAGGGAATTTTATGGGATAGCTACTTTTTTCAGGTATTATAGCAAGTTTTATGTAGTTGATAGTCCCCATGCCGTCCCCATTTCACAGACGAGGAAAACGGAGACTCAGAAGGGTTGATTTTTTTTCCCAGCATTACTGTGCCAGTGGTTAAGTTCCTGTCTTGCAGACCTCACCCCACCCTTCTCCTCCGTGCTGCTGGGGCTGGGTCTCCGCAGCCCACGCCCTGCTCCGCCCTCTGGCTCCC